TTATACCTGATTTCATGAAGGGCTTTATTTGGGTGGTTTTGCCCCTAGTGCAGGAGTTGACCCCCCATCTTCGCGTGATCCACCTTACCCACTTGCTGTTCCTGCTTCAAACAGTCTTACACATGCCTTACTAGTAGATACTCCATTCAGTATCTCTAAAGGTAATAATCCCAATGGTGGATTGGGTTTGTCTGACATAATAAAGCAGATCAAGACGTCTAAAGATTCCACCAAATTGTCATATCATGGTAGCTTGGGAAATGAACCCATCTCGATGCATTCATCCTACCCAACAAGACGAGTTTCTGAAAAGCAATATGAAAGAGGCTTTACTGAAGAAAATGTTGATGTTCGGGAGGCTAGGAGACACATAAATACACATGCTGACAGACAATTTTTAGATGTGCAATATAGAGAGACTAATTTTAGGGATTCCCACAACCCTGTTCCTCACTTTCAACGGCCTTTGTCGAGAAAAAGTTCAGCAGGACGGATGTCTGCTAGCCGGAGGAGTTTTGACGATAGCCAAATTCCTTCGGGTGATATGACAGGCTTTGTGGATGGACCTTCTTCTCTTACTGATGCATTAAGTGGAGGGCTTAGTTCAACTTCTGATTGGAATGCCCGAGTTGCTGCTTTCAACTACGTTCATTCTTTGTTACAGCAAGGGCCTAGAGGTATTCAAGAAATCATTCAGAGTTTTGAGAAGGTGATGAAGTTGTTCTACCAGCACCTTGATGACCCCCATCATAAAGTTGCCCAAGCAGCACTCTCAACACTTGCAGAGCTTATTCCATCTTGCAAAAAACCATTTGAAAGTTACATAGAAAGGATCTTGCCCCGTGTTTTCTCACGCTTAATTGATCCAAAGGAACTAGTCAGGCAATCTTGCTCTACTACTTTAGATATTGTTGCAAAAACATATGTTATAGAGTCACTTTTACCTGCTTTGCTTCGTTCTCTGGATGAACAACGTTCTCCAAAGGCAAAATTGGCAGTTATAGAATTTTCCATTGGTTCTTTTAATAGCCACCATTCAAGTTCTGAAGGTTCTTTTAACATTGGCATTCTTAAGTTATGGCTTGCAAAATTGACACCCTTGGTCCACGATAAGAACACAAAACTAAAGGAAGCTTCTATAACTTGCATTGTTTCTGTTTATACACACTTCGATTCAACAGCTGTTTTGAATTTTATTCTTAGCTTATCCGTCGAGGAGCAAAATTCCTTGAGACGAGCCCTTAAGCAGTATACTCCTCGCATTGAAGTTGATTTGATGAATTTTATCCAGAACAAGAAAGAGAGGCAGCGTTCCAAGACTTCATATGATCCATCTGATGTTATTGGAACATCTTCAGAAGAAGGATATATTGGATCTTCAAAGAAGAGTAATCTGTTTGGAAGGTATTCTGGTGGTTCAGTTGACAGTGATGGTGGCAGAAGGTGGAACTCTCTTCATGATTCAACCTATGTCATGGGCTCTACTGGTCTCCCGCCATCTGATGATACTCAGGATAATTATGAGAACACGGAAACTAGTTCCAATGCCACTATTCCTATAGCTAAGGACACAATGCCCAAATATCGAACAAATGTCGCAAATGAAACTGTTGGAGTAATTACTAAACAGCTAGAAACAGATGAAATTGATTCTACCACAGAATCCATTTCAACTCATCTGGACATCAATGGGCTAGTTGATTCAGACCATCACCAGAACACTGCAGGCCATGGCACTGGTAGAGGGTCTTTAGCTGATTTATCATTCAGTTATCCAAGATTAGCAACACTGAAGATGGATTCAGCCCCAGAAACTGGACCTAGTATCCCTCAGATTCTTCACACGGTGAGTTTTATGAAGTCAATCCATCATCCTACTGCATTCAGATGTCAACTTCTGTTATTACTCTTGCTGATTGATAAGCATTTTATTTCATCCTATGATCCGAGGAAACCACATGAAATACAACTTGTTTTTCTAATTTTGGTAGATTTGCAATGGGAATGATGGAACTCCTACCGAGAAAAAGTGTGCCGCACTGGAACAGTTGGTTGATTTTTCTGTTGGCAATGATAATTTGATTTGGAATAAGGTATCATTGCTATCAAAATCAATTCTGAAAGATGAATCATCCACAGTACTAATAGATCATTATTGTTTGATGTTTTAAGATGAGATTTAAGGAGTAGTTGTATAAATCTAGTTCAAAATGTTTGTTTTGGCAAAAAGTTTAGAAATGTATCTGCATATGAAAATAACATGTTATCATTTGTTGGTGCAGTATTTCAATCAGATTTTAACAGCTATACTGGAGGTTTTAAGTGATTCTGAACCATCCATACGTGAACATGCTCTGTCACTGATAGTTGAAATGTTGAAGAATCAGGTATGTTGTCTCCATTCAATGACACTTTTTTCTTCTTTGGACAAAAACAGCTTTCCTTACTTGGTCTATATGCCTATTTCAGAAAGTTGCCATGGAGGACTCAGTAGAGATTGTAATTGAAAAACTGGTTCATGTCACCAAGGATGCTGTTCCCAAAGTAATCTTTTTATGGCTCATATGGTCATACCTTGCAATACTCTGTCACTGCAGTCTTCATAAATGCCTTATTGATGTGTGATGTCAATCAATTCCTGGTTCAGGTAGCGAATGAAGCAGAACATTGTTTGACAATTGTGTTGTCTCAATATGACCCATTCAGATGTTTAAGTGTAAGTGATTTTTATGTTGGTTTATATTTCGGTTGTCAAGATTGATCCCCTATTTTTGCTTCCATCCGTTTTTTCCCTTTTGCATGGTCCTTAGAGTTTCTAGTATGACAGGTTGTTGTTCCTGCTCTAGTTACTGAAGACGAAAAGACTCTTGTAACGTGCATAAACTGTCTGACAAAGGTTAATATTTTCCCTTGTGCTTCCTCACCTGTTTAGAAAATTTATATGTAGTAATATCCTTCGTCTTTAATCCAATGCAATTATGACCAATGACTTTATAAGGAATTCATCTTTTTAAAGAAAGGCTTAGGCTCAAAGCGGCTATTGCCAACTTCTTGCCTGGTTATCTGAAGTTATAATATAAATAGCTTTTTTTCATTGCAGCTTGTAGGCAGGCTCTCACAAGAGGAGCTTATGACTCAATTGCCGTCTTTCTTGCCCTCCTTGTTTGATGCATTTGGGAATCAAAGTGCTGATGTTCGCAAGGTAACAATTAATTTCGTGCATTCATTAGTATCCTACTCAAGTGGTATCTTCGTTGTTTAATTGTGTACCTATCCTTGTGTTTTTTCTCTGACTAGTATTTTCTTTGTATTTATCGTCCCCGTTTAGAAACTTCTCATTAGGGCAATTTCGATTGTGTAATTTTTTGGAAGCTCCGTTTGATTGGTCTATTATTATGTATATACGTACACTTTTGGTGGCAGACTGTGGTATTTTGTTTAGTTGACATATACATCATGCTGGGGAAAGCATTTTTGCCATATTTGGAAGGCCTGAACAGTACACAGCTGAGGTTGGTGACAATCTACGCAAATCGGATATCACAAGCAAGGACTGGAACACCGATAGATGGCTCCTCCCAAAGTTAAGACGATACGCAGTGGTGAGATTAAAAGATTGGGTGTTGTGAGTTGGAATTTCTCATCTGGTTTGGTCATGTACATTTGTGTGAATGCGTGTCTTGAGGGTGGTTTCAAGTTGTATTCTTCTTTGTCATGTAATTTTGTTCTTATTTTTTGTTTGTTTGATCCAATTGAATCAAAGGTAGGAGTGTGTAGTTGGAGAATGTGGTTTCAGTGAGAGGATGCAATTGTTGTATACACTTTGTGCCCATTGTTATAATGAAAGTTTACATTTTGTTTCTTTGCTCAAAACTGTCTACAATTTTCCGCCATAACAACAACAACAATACTCTGCAATAATAATAATAATAATAATAATAATAATAATAATAATAATAATAATACTCTATAATAATAATAATCATCATCTTGATGATGATGATCTACAAGTTTTGACTCTTACTCTTATTATGGTTTAATGCTTTAATAATCATCAATATATTAATGTCTCATTAAGTCATTATTTTGTTTGATGGATTAAGGCTATTTTTTTGTTTATTACTTATTCTTATTATAATCAAATCAGACCAGATAAAAAATAGCTTTAATTGTAACTGCAATCAGATCAGACCAGATCAGACCAGATTTTCAAAAAATTAGATCAGATCAAATAAAGTGAACCGAACGCAACCTAACTTTCATGAGTTGTAAAATTTTATTTTTCAACCTACGCAGGTACCAATATAATTCGTATATTAGTTCAAAATAACCAATGCTCACTTTGTCTCTATTTGAATTTCAGTTTACGCCTTATGAACTATGAGCGAGATTATTTTTAATTTAGTTTATTTGAATACCACTATAAGATTAAACACTAAATTTATAAATCTATAAATTACATTAACATTTCTGCAAAAGATGTGATATAACTATTTTATTAGAACTAATTTGGTTTTCGGTAAGGAAATTAAATTTGAGGTTTCAAGATTGAGCAACGGTAGAAGCAATGTGAGAAATTCATCGAATGTGGTGACTCGTATGCACCAATTGCAAGATGACTTCTCTAAAAAAATACTAAGATTATATTGTGATTTATTTATTATTGGAATTCGGCACCTGGGAGAACGTTCTACCGAAGGAAGAAATACCCCCTCTTTTCCCATTACCACATTATAATTCTAGTTTTCCAATGATTTTTACTCTCATAATTGCATGATTTTACATAAATACTTCGAGATTCAGTAAATGATACCGAATACTCCTAGAATTCTCATAGCACTCAAAAAATTGTTATTGTTAGAGTAATGATGTAAACATATGAAAATTCTAAAAACATCAATGCATCCGTTAAATCTTGAAATATTTATATAAAATAAAAAAAATTAGGAATAGACTAGTAATTGTATAAATTTTTCCTCGACTATTTAATAAAATTAAATATTTATTATTCCGGACCCAAAGGTTATGTACTTTGGGTGGAAGATTTAACTAACAGTGGTAATCCCTGGGTGACTCTGCAGAATATTTGAGAAGATAGATGTGGAAGGGGTTATATGCCCCCATCACCCCAGCTTAATTTTTATACTCTGTGGCTCTGTAACCATACACGAGAGACATATAATGTCTCACCCATCCATAACTATTATCATCCAACGCCACTAACGCTCAAAAGGCAATCAAACTCCCCTCTACTCTCTTCTTCTCTTCTCTTCTCTTCTCTGTAGTTTTTAGTTGCAGAGCGGTGAATCTGAGAAAACTCCCGGCAGCTCTCAATCTTGATGAGTTTTGGCAGGAATTGATTTTTGCGGATTCGATTCTGCTGGCTTTTTGGAATTCCGGCGTCCATGAATCACTGCGTTCCCAATTTCGACATGGATGAGGACTTCAATGATCTTCCTCCCACCGCTTCTCCTTCTGGTTCGGCCAGACACAATAGCAAAAAGTCTGCAATGTGAGTGTTTCTGTTCTTCTTCTTCTTCTTCTTCTTCTTCTTCTTCTTCTCTCTGGCTATGGCTGTTCTGATTGATTTCTCAGGGAAAGGTTTGATTTGATCTGTTTTATGTGTTTTAGGGCTGAAGAGGATATCATGGAGCTGCTATGGCAGAACGGTCAGGTTGTTATGCAGACTCAAAATCAGAGATCTTTTCCGAAATCAAACTTCGATGCCGCAGGGGTTCGGGCGGAGCAGCCTGTGATTCGCCCGCCGGGTGAGGGAACCGCGGCGGCGGCGGACCACCATGTGTTTTTGGAGGAGGACGAGATGGCGTCTTGGCTTCACTATCCTCTCCACGAACAGGCCTTTGACGGCCGCGATCTCTACTCGGATCTCCTTTATCCGCCTGCAGCATCGTGCGCTCCCGGGACCGCCGCCATTCACGCGCGGGAAACCCGCCCCGCGGCCGGAGAGAAGATCCGTCAGCCGCCGATCCAGATGCGGGCGAAATGCGCTGAGATTCAAGACGCGCCGCCGCGCATCCAGAACTTCGGCCACTTTTCGCGGCTGAGCAGGGGGAGGATCGAGCCCGGGCCGTCGAGTTCGAGCAAGGCGCCAATCGAATCGACGATCGTGGACTCGTGCGAGACCCCGCAGTTTTCTCGCGCTAACGTGCGGCGGCGGAACGGGAGGGTCGCCGGGGCCACCGCCCTGCCGTCGGCGGGCGTAAGGGAAGAGTCGGTGACGTGCGAGCAAACGGTGACGTCATCTCCCGGCGGTTCGGAAGACAGCGGCAGCGCGGAGCCGTCACGAAATCCGGAGCTGGTTTCCTGGAAGCGCAAACAAAGAGATGTGGATGAGATGGAGGGCCACAGTGAGGTAATTAAGCCGCTAATATACTCTCCTCCTTTTCGCCCGACATCTTCATTCTTTGACTTTTTCATAAAAAAATTACGGAGTATTATTTCCACCTTGACCTATGATTATAAGGTAGTACTAGTCCCAATTTAAATTCTGTTCCACAAATCCTTCCGGTTTTGACTTTGGAGAAAAATAAGGAAAGTGTAATTTTGGTTGACTTTCCAATCTTGCTTCTGATGTGATGGGAAAAAAGTAAGATGTGATAATTTGGTTATTAGTGAAAAAATATGATGTAATAGGTAAGGTATGAAAAAGTAGGAGTAAAAGTGGTTTTTTAATAGAAAGTGGAAGTGTTTTGTGAAAAATAAAAAAATGAAAAAGGAAGGGTTCTCGAAGTTCATGCAGATTATGACCACATAAAAGTACTGCGGTGCTTTAGCAAGTGCTCTATGTATTTTGGGATAAGGTAAAGGTTACTCGATTGACCCATATGACATTTGACTTGAATCATATTAAAAAATTTAATTTAATTGGTTACTTAGTTCAACTGAAAAGTTTATAAAATGATTACTTTTTTCTTCAACATCCAATGTGGGATATTTTTAACACTCCTCTTCAACTTGAATCTAACCGATTGACTACTTGCAAATAGATTCTCACCCCCTTGTTTTCTTACCACCAACAACTAAAGGACCGCGAGCCGTTGAGTATGAACTTCCAGACGAGCAATCGGGTTAAACATGCCACAAGCCGTTGGATGTGCATTCCACACGGACAATTGGACTAAAAACTACGACCGCTAGGAATGAACGTTTAAACAGACACCCTAACAATAGAGGTGGGATAAAACTGACTCTGATATTGTTATAGAATTTTGGATAAGATAGAGATTAATGGGCTAAGTCATAAACATGTGGGCTAAATCATACTCCTTCCGTCCACCTAAGATCTTTCCATTACGCGTTACGAGGCTTGACCGAATTTATTTTCAATTCAATTTAATTGATTATAGGAGTAAAATTTTAAAATAAAATTTATATAGTAATAAACTACATGAAAAGTTCTACAAAATTAGAGGTGACAAGACTATATTATTTTACGAAATGACTAGTAAAAATGAGCAAACAAAGTAAGTAAAGTTTGACCCTGTGAATAGTGTATGGGAAGATCTATGGTGGACAGAGTGAGTATTAAAAAATTGAATTTGATTGAAAACATTAAAAGACATGTAGGGATTAATGATGCATTTTAAAAAGTCGAGAAGGAAAATATATACTTTATGTTCACAAGATGAATGATCTTTTTAGGATTGTGAGATGAAAGGGTTGGCGGGCAAGGGACTTAGAACTAGCATTTAGTGTATGGATGTGGTTGGACACACACTTGACACGTATACAGTTGTCTGAGTTGAAGTTCAGTGGCACCTACCTTGTTGGGACTTTAGTAATTGCGCATTTGGAACTGAAAGTGATGGATAATGGAGGAAAGGGTGTAAAACTCCATTCCTGAAATTCAAGTCAAGACACATTAAAGGGTACGGTACTATTTGAAGCTCAAAATTTGAGAGTAGACCAAGGCGCACACTCGATTTTCAGGTTTCTCAGAACCGGCTAGACGGTCACTGAGACTCTAAGAAGATGTAGGTTAGGTTTTAATCAGATATTGGTGGTAATGGGTGGAACCTGCTGCACCTGATGCATAGAGACTCTATGTTTAACATAATTGCTTGACTTGCTTCCCAGTATAGTTGTCAAAAATCAAACTCGGATATTACTCTCGGGCATCCCTTGTCTTGCCAACTGCATGCGCAATGCCTGCAGACACTTTCCTTTGTAGTTTGAAATTTAAGAGGGGGTGTAAACAGAATGTATAAATTGTTTTCTCTACTTTACAATGAGCCCATTTTCTGATATGCATGTTATGGTTTACAAAAATGTTTGAGGTACGCGAAGGTGTATCCCAAGATGTACCCCAACCCCCTCTCATGATTTTTGGTTTGAATAGAAAAATAAGTGTGGATAAGAATTGCATGGTTGAAACAGTACTGAGTACATCCTACGATATAACCTGGTGTACCCCTAGCATTGCTTTATGATTTATTAGGCGGCCACTTACGTTCTTTACACGTAGGAGTGTTCATTCAAGATCGATATCATCTGGTCCTCTAGATATTCAAAATTTTTGGATTATATTAACAAAATTTATTTCACGTCCAATCCGAAAAACTTTGGATTTTTGGGACCTGGATATCCAAAATTTGTCAGTGGAATACCTGGAAAGTTTATTTTATTATTTTATTTCTTATCAAACGCTCTATCAAATATCATATTCGGAGTAGTATTCTATTAAAAACTTGTAATCAAAGGCACAAACACAACAACAAAAAAGTAGGCATATTTTTAGAATATAATACCAAAAAATACAGTGAGATACCACTATAGAGTGTCATAATATCATAGTCTAATTTCGTATTTTGGGATAAAAACATTGAACTCTTGTCTTGAGGATAAATACTATGTTTTATTCCTAGTTAGGATGATCTCTTTATAATACTCCCTACCCCCCAAAAATTACTACAGTTTAACTTTTTTTGGTCTACGTGTGCAACGCTTTGACCGAAAATTAAATGTAGTTTTAAACAATCAAATATTATAAAATTTGATTTATCAAACTATATTTTAAAATAAATCTAATTTTACTAAATTTACATCATACTCTGTAGCTAAATATAATTTTTTCACAATTTGCGGTCAAATTAAAGTATTGCATAGCTTGACCGAAAAAATTAAATGTGATAATTTTTTTGGGACAGTGGGAGCTGAGTAAAACAGAGTAATTCATTTAAAACATACAAGAGCTAAGACATTGTTTATAAAACCATACACCCAGAATACATTGTTTATGACTTCATGCTATTGTGTAGCTTACAAATTTTAAAGGGAAGGGATGGGAGCGCAAATTAAGGTCTTAATAAGTCTTTTACAAGAATTCCACAGTCACATAACATGAAATAAAGTAAATTAAAGATTACATTAACCACATAAAATTTTCAAAGTAGGGCTTAGGTTTTGTGAGGTTTGTAAGTTGTAATTTGGGCTTAGGTTTTTTGAGGTCTTGTATTTAATTTTTAAAAATATAAACTCCGGATATCCGTGGATATCAGAAATCAAAATTTCATTCCATGTCTAATCTGGTTTTTTCCGTAGTGTTGGATTCGAAATATCCAAAAGCTAAAATACTGGATCTGTTACCTATTTTCTTAATCGGATTGGCCTGGATCATAGACATATTTTTTGAATAAGATATTTTTGAACACCCCTAATAAAAACACCTTTCCAGAATCTACAATAAAAAACTTGAGCTTGTAGTTGAGTTGGTTCATTAGCAAGGTATCTGAGTCTTGTTGACCTAGAAACTACGACTTCAAACATCATCACCACCTAATTTTTAAAACTTTATGTTCACGTGCAAGAGAAAATATTCACTTGTTACTTGTTAGAGACCGTGAAAAAGCAAATAAAGGTGGTTTTATATAGGGTGGGAGTAGTGGAGTACTATTTTAGATAATGTAGTGTATTCCAACACTTAGAGCTCACTTTACACATTTGCTAATTCCCCCTTATAAATGGAATTCTCCTACATATATGTAGGACATGGACTTAGAGTCTCTTGATACAAAGAAGGAAGGCCGTAGTGGTTGTGCTTCAACAAAGCGATCTCGGGCTGCGCAGGTCCACAATCTCTCAGAAAGGGTATATTATGTTTTCCACCATTGTTTCGTTGTTGTTGTTGTTGTTGTTGTTGTTTATCGTCTCATATATGGTCTATAACCAATTTTCAATGCATGGTAAGTGCAGAGGCGTCGAGATAGGATCAATGAAAAGATGAAGGCCTTGCAGGAACTCATACCCCGTTGCACCAAGGTCTTTGTTTCATTGAAACCTTAGTGTTATTTCTTTCTGTCTTTGCATATTGGGAGACCATTTTATAGCTGAGTTATGTACGTATTTTTGGTCATGTTCATTTCCTCTTTTTGGAGGGGCGTTTATTTCAGTCAGACAAAGCTTCAATGTTGGATGATGCAATTGAATACCTGAAATCATTACAATTGCAAGTGCAGGTATGTGATAGCTAGACATAAATATACAAATGAATTTTCTGTTCTCTTTTAGTCAAGTAACCAACTCAACCAAAAGCTCAAGCTTGTGTTTGCTCGAGTCATGCACGCAAATATTAATTTCTTAAAACTATGTGAGAGATTGACAGTGAGATTTGAACTCGTGATCTCTTAGTCATCAAGACTCTTTGATATCATGTGATGGAACTAACTCGACCAAAAACTCAAGCATGTAGATGTAGGCCCAAAAAAGATTCTATACGTCGTCTAACACTTTTAGGTGCAACCAAATGATGCCTTATTTTTTCTCATAATATATCAGATGATGACTATGGGATGTGGCATGCTCCCTATGATGTACAATGCAAGTATGCAGCAGTTTATGCAAACTGGGACGATGGGTATGAACATGATGGGGATGTGCGGCATGAATCGCCCTCCTATGGTTCCTCCACCATATCCACCGCCGCCGCCACCACTCATACCTTCAAGTTCGTCAATGCCATCACCAAATCCAACTGCAGCAGCACAGATGAACCCCACAAGGTTTCCTATCTCACCACCATTCCCATTTCCTGTACCGGATCCATCTTCTAGACTTCACGCATCGAACCAATCAGGCTCTGTCCTAACCCCGCTTGTCTCCCGCAACCCTAACCAGCAACAAATACCAAATTTTGCAGATCCATATAAACAACTTCTTGGCTTTCACCAGGCACAGGTCACTTTGCCACTGGTAAGTTACACATTACCTAATTTGTGAAACTTCATCTTTATCTATGCCCCCTTTATACTTCTCACTAGAGCTCCCATTTTTGACATCTATATTTGTTAAGCCATCCAACATACAAAGCAATGAAAGCATTGTAGTTTTTTCCCTTTATATAAACTTTGTTATTGCTAGTGTGTTTACTTCGTCTGTGTTTGTGTTTGAGCTGGGGTAAGGTCCCGAGTAGGAGTAAGGTCTGCATACAAACACCTTCCACAAAAACCCTACTTTTTGAGTTTTTGGGAGTTTTTACGGAGTTTGTTGTTGTTTTTTACCCTTTGTTTTTCATTCTAACCCCAGAATCAGACAGTGGAGCATCCTGTTAACAACAAGCCAAGTAGCAGCAAAGATGTTGGGAATCATCAATCTTAACTTGTAAGTTTCCTGTTATAGACATTCATAATGCTCCCCGTCGGCCTCCGGCTTGAACTAACTTTCTGTGTTTGAATTTTTAGTAAAAAATAGGGCCCTTTTGTAAATGCCAATTTTTAAGGCTGTATAATTATGACTATTTGACATGTTAAGAATAATTTTTCTTATGTATAAATAGATATACTAATAATCAAACTAAAGCAATATGGAGTCAACCTTAATCTTGACAATAATTTTGAGACAAAAGAAGTATATTATTTAAGTTGAATGAAACTTAAAGATGGACTAAAACACATTTTCTCACAAGGTTTTTCTAAGTTTTTTCCCGGCTAGATTTGGTCAAAAATGAAAACCTTGGCTACTTTGTTGACATATTTTGATGAAAATTATACTCCCTCCTTCCTATAATGATCTTCCCAGAACACTATTCCAACTTCACGGGAATTTATATTTATTTGTGTTTTTTCATGGCTTATATGATAAAATAAAATATTCTTGTCACCATTTGTTTTGTTGAACTTTTGATGTAGTTTTTAAATATGTATGTTTTATTTTTTATTTTTATACCAATATTTAAATAAAATAGATTGAAAAGACTTAGGATTTTTCTTCGTTTTGCGAATCGGGAAGATCATTATAGGACGGAGGGAGTAATTTTTATATATTTATGAAAATGTTTTTAGTAATTATCATTTTTATATTATTTTCATTATATGAGTTATTCTAAAATTTATTAGCGGTACGACACACTTGACTGCATTCAACGATGGGAAATCTTAGCTGGGCGGAAAGAGTATTTCTTGTTTTAAAACAATTACAAGGTGTGTGTTGGCCGTGGAGCAATGACAAAAAACACAATTGTTTGAAAAAATATAATTCTTCCGTCTCAAATTAGATTACACAATTTAAAAAATGTGCAAAACCTCATGCTTTTTAAATTTAATTTATTTATAAAGTGGTATGGAAATACAAAATGTATTCCGTAACTTACATACAACAAAAGTTTTACAAAATAAGCGGTGACAAAAATATTTTATTTTATCAAATGGTCAATAAAAGCAAATAAAAGTTATTGTGTGACCTGAATAGTACTCTCTCCGTCCTAAAATTAACTTCTTATTTGACTTTTCACGGTCTCCAATGCGACACTTTGACCATTAATATCTCCATTTTTATATGAATATATATCACAAAAATAACATATTTCAATACTATGTTTCAAAATGAATCTATTGATAATAAATTAATATGAAAATTCAATATATTTTTTCTGTAATATACGGTCAAAGTTTAAAAAGTTTGACTGCAAAAGTCAAATTGGGAAATTAATTTTAGGACGGAAGGAGTAAGTGTTAAACTATTTTGAGATGGAAGGAATACTTAACTATTCCATCCAAATTTGTTATGCCTACTTTGACTGGACTCTGATTAATAAAGTGAAACCTATGTAAAATTAAGATTTATGGGTAGTGAAAAACATTTAGAATTACCTAAAACTTTTTTGTAGTCTATAAATAGGAAAAACATATTCTCCCCCGTTCTAAATTAAATTGTCTATTTATTGTTTATATGGTCAAACTTCATTCACTTTTTTTTCTCTATTTTAATTAGTTATTTGATAAAATAAAATAGTCATGTCACTATTAGTTTTGTAGATCTTTTGATGTAGTATTTTAATATGTAATTTTTATTTTTTTAATTCTACACCATTTTTTATATAAAATGATTTGAAAATAATTTTAGTTAAACATCGTAAATCGAAACATGCGATATAAATTGGGTTAAGGGACTAGTCATTTGAGAAGGGTTAAAAAGGGAAAGCATATACCCACACAGTTCTCTTCTAAATGTCGGTTAACTTTTTTATATATTAAAATATAAATGAATGTGATCGTTCATATCTAAAGAGGTGGACAGAAAATAAATTAGAAATCATCTTAAATATTGCTAAAACATAGAGAAAAGTACTAAAATATGATTTTTAAGTTTTTTTCGAAATAAGACTTCAATATGGCATTGTGCATGTGCAAAAACTATACTTTTTGGTAATGTACATGACCATGTTTGGTAATGTAAATGCTTTTTAAGTCCTATTTCGAAAATAAAAATATGGAAGTCTTATTTTGGTATATTTTTAACGTTTTAGTCCTATTTTAGTCTTTTTTCCAAAATTAATAGAGAATGAAGTTAGGATAATTCTCTGTGTACAAGAAAATTGACACTAAAAAAGGAATTACATACAAAAACTATTATGTGCTAACTTTTGTGAATTAAAGAGTAACTTCTATCATTGGTCCTTTATAACAGGGGGTTTCTATATTTAGTCATTTATTATCAAATATTATCCTAGTGGTCCTTCTTTTATGGTATCTTTCCACAAATAGTCCTTTTTATGATATTCTACCATGTTGGTGTTAATTTAAGAGCTAAAAGTATAATTTCACAATGATTTTATATCTTTATTGTCATATACAATTCCAAAGGACGCTCAGATGTGTCGTTTGTAAATTACAGTCACTTTATACTACAATTATAGTCTACAGATATGGCCTTTCATCAGAATCCTAACCCACAATATAGTCATTATTTTTGTGTTATCTGTTTAACCAATATCAGAAAACATCAATGGACATAAAATTGATGTCAAATTACACGTTTAGCTTTCAAATTAACACCAATATGATAGAAGATCAAAAAAGACTATTTGTGGAAAGGTTCCCATAAAAGAAGGACCACCGAAATAATATTTGACAATAGAGGACTAAATATGGAAACTCACCTGTTATAAAGGACCAATTATGTAATTTTCTCTGAATTAAAATATACTTCCACCGTCCTTGAATATTTGTCCACTTTTGACTTTTTGGTCAAAATTGATAAACTTTGACCTCAATTTAAATAAAAATGATATAAGATATTGATTTAAAAATAGTTTTATTAGATTTATTATATTATATATTTTTAAAATATTATTTTATATAAGTAATATACAATACATTAAATTCAATTATAGGTCAAAGGTTAAAAACAATTGACCAAAAAAAGTTAAAACTGGATAAATATTAAGAAAGGGAGTTGGTGGTTCTTTGGTTTCAAGTTGGTGCAGTGCTAAGTCATGAATTATTTTAGGGCAATGCTAGGGGTACACCAACATGGGGTACCCCAAGTATACACCAAGCCAACACAGACACACACAGACACAAAATGTCTGTGCAACACAGACACTTTATGTCTGTGTGTGTCTGTGTTGGCTTGGTGTACACTTGGGGTACACCAATATTGGTGTACCCCTAGCTTAATTCATTATTTTATTAGGATTATGCTCCAATGCCCTGTACGCCATCACTGACATTTTAAAAAGGAACCATATATTACTCCCTCCCTCCGTCCTAAAATTAACTTACCATTTGACTTTTCACGGTCTCCAATATGACACTTTGACCATCAATATCTCAATTTTTATAGAAATATATTTTATAAAAATTATATATTTCAAAACTATGTTTCAAAATAAATCTATTGCTAATAAATTTATATGAAAATTTAATGTATTTTTTCTGTAATATACGGTCAAAGTTTAAAAAAGTTTGACTACAAAAATCAAACTGAAAAATTAATTTTAGGACGGAGGGAGCACTAGGAGAAAATTTAGTTAAATTTATATGCATTGAAAAGATAAAAAGACACGTAGATCTCGAGGAGGAATGATAAAGATAATGATAAGATTGAAAAAACAACGGAGTAATACTCGTACTCTATTTAACTCATAACATTCATTGAATTTTAAAAAAATGTACGTCAAAAAATGAAAAATGTGTGATTAAAAGAGTTGAAAAAGAAAGAAATATTGTGATCCGTGAGTCGTTTGATGGTACAACCATAGAAAATTATATGTTCACAAATGAATAATAAATTGTTCACAAAAATAGATGTGTGTGCTCTTAGTGGATGTTTAATACTCCATCCGTTCTCAAAAACTCTCCCTCTTTCATTTTTTTACTTCCAACAAAACACTTTCACTTTCTATTAAAAAATCACTTTTACTCTTACTTTTTCATACTCTACCTATCACATCATACTTTTTCTTTAATACTCAATTCATCACATCTTACTTTTACTCATCACATCAAGGTCAAAATTGAAAGTCAACTACAATTTAACACTTCCTTATTTTTACACAAAGTCAAAATAGGAACACTTTTATAGAACGGAGGGAGTATTTTTAAAAAATAGGAAGTAGAATTTTTATTGAACAACGTGTTCTTTTTTTCTTAAAATGAAATGAGACATTTATTTGAGTTAAATAAAAATAAAAAGTGAGTGACTCATTTATCTTCATAGAAATAAGAGAGTATTTATATTTATATTTATATCTATCTTCACATTTACATACACCTGATGCTCGGCAGGTTGCCGATTTGTGAGAAGATCATTTATGGGAATGTCACCCAACCAAATTTTGTAGAGCAAGAGAAGCAATAATTGTGGATGCAGCCTATATTTGCTCGCCAACGGCTAACATGTAACTATTTCTTATATAAACAAAGTTCCATTTGTTTTTTTTTACTGGTTTTGGCTCGATTACAATGTAATATCTGTTCATATTTTTTCTACTTATTGACGCAGAGTCGGCAGTCTTCCGCTTCCCCTATGCATGACTCGAACGTAAATGAACTTCTTCGTGAATCTTGAGGTGTGAGCTTCTACGACTAAGGCTAACGGAGAGGTTCATGTATGTTGCAATTGTTCATTATATTCGTTGTGGGTTTCAATACAATCTACCACTCATGGTGATAGAGAAGTTCAAGTTGCAATTATTCATTCATTTTGGATTTTAATACAATCTTTACCGTACCATCTTTGATGTTTTGTGTATATGTTAGCATGATTTTAGTTACCTACCTATGATAGAAATTATTGTCTTTACAAATAAAGTACTCTCTCCGTCCTATAATGATCTTCCCAGAGCATTATTCTAACTTCACGAGAATTTATATTTATTTGTGTTTTTCATGGCCTATATGATAAAATAAAATATTCTTGTCACCACTTGTTTTGTTGAACTTTTGGTGTAGTTTTTAAATATGTATGTTTTATTTTTTATTTCTATACCAATATTTAAATAAAATAGATTGAAAAAACTTGGGATTTTTCTTCGTTTTGCGAACCGGGAAGATCATTATAGGACGGAGGGAGTACATGTACTTATAATACTATCTCCGTCCCATTGTCTTTGTCCACATTTGACTTTTGGAACTGTTCATCTAAGCACTCTGACTCATCAAATTCTCTTAATGTGTAAGCCTAAAAATAGTCATGTGTGATCTTGTTTGATTCGTCTTAACATATAGATTATTAATATATAATTTGTATAATTTTTTAATATACAAATTACAAGATAAAATGAATTAAAGAAGTGCATTGGATAGTGTGCCAAAAGGTAAGTGGACAAACACAGTGGGACGAAGGGAGTACTAATTTGATATCATAATATTCATGTTGAAACATGTTTATTGATTTATTTATTTATACATACATACATACATACATACATACATACATACATACATACATACATACATACATATATATATATATATATATATATATATATATATATATATATATATATATATATATATATATAGTGTTATCCTAACTTGGTCAACAAGTAAGTAAATTAATCTTAGGACCCATATTTCTATTCGTACTCGAATTAGAATATATCGGGTATTCCTAGTCCTACTCGGTAATTAGCCAACACTCATATCCTACTTCTCTTGCCCTCCCTCCTTTTTATTTCTCTCCTCTCCCAGATCTTTGTGGGCATTGGGGCTGGCAGCGGTGGTGGCGGGGGTTAATGGAGATGGTGGAAGCAAGTGGCGGTGGTAGTGTTGTTGACGGTGGTGTGGCGGGGGGATGTGTAACAACCACTTTGAACACACACATGATGGCGATTGTGGTGGGAGCAAGGGGGTAGTGGTGGGGGCTAGTGGCAGGCGGTGGGGGGCTGGCAGGAGCGTGAGCAAAGGGTGGTACTGTGTTAGTGGGACTGGTGGGAGCATGGGTAATAATGACAATGGAAGAGTATTTTAGACATTTCTATTCCATTATCAACTCTCCTTAAAAATGGAAAAAAGTTGAAATGGGTAGTAATTTTTTATAATTAAAACACATCAAAAAATGTAAAACATAGCTAAAACAATAACTTGCCACTGTAGAACTTGTCACTTCATTCATGTATCACTTGCTTAACAAATTATTTTTATTAGTTAAAATATATCACGTCAGCATGTGATATTCTATTTTGCCTTACCATTGCTCATGTTATATGTAACATCTAGGGATGGCAATTTGTAACTGGTCTGGTACATTATCGATCCATCCAACCCACTCTCATGGATAAAAACCTGAAAAGAAAAGGGTGATTCCTCATTTGCTATGTTTTCCCCTTTGTACTCTTTTTCCTTTTTTAGGGTTCTTGTACTCCATATATGGGTTTATATATAGATTAAAAATAAAAAATGGAGTGTCTGCAATTGCTCGTCTTTGGCTTTACCACTTCTTCTACCTATAAATAACCCCCCCCCCCCCCAACTATTCATTTTCCTCCATTCTTTCTTCTCAATATTGCAACAACTTTCTTCATACATGTAGCCTACATAGCCACGAAAGTTTTTAGTCAATTTACTCCTAATACACTGCCAAACCTTTGCCCAAAATATTACAGTAAAAGAAGTTAGAGCCAAACAAGATTTTGTTATTTTGTTGTTCATCGGTAGAGTTAGGTAGCATCACTAGAGCCTCACTTCCTTATTAGACTTCATCAACTCCATTTCATCTTTTCTCTCGAACTCGAAGTATGTACAAAATCGTATTGCTCGGACTTTTCGTTGAATTACTATATTTGTAAAAATCCTTTAGAAAAGTACCTCTTTGTATGATATAAAGTTATTTTTGCCCAAAGTGTATAAAATAGTATTTTATTCTCAAATTGATATTTTTAGTTCTTTTAAAACTAAAGTTTTAAAAGCAATTTCTTATAAAATATTGATTTGTAAAAATGATTTGGTGTATATGTAAAATCACTCAAACTTTTTATTTTTGAATAATATCATAAGCTTGAACAACTTGAGATCATTTTAAACTTGTATTTCAGAGCAATGGTAAGAGACCCTTATCACCGCTCATCGTATACGTGTACAGAATCATCAGCCAAGGTTGCAAGAATGATGCCCAAAAGGCAGTATTTCTCAGGGCTGCATTTGAAGATCCTCGGTGTATGTCGATAAGTTAAATGCTTCGTATCCCAGTAGTTTGAAAATAATCTTTTATAAATTTTTTATCTAACTGTTATCTATATAGTGTCATATATGGAAATTTATTTTGTAAAATTAAAAGTGTGTTTGATATTAATCTAGATATTGATTTTTGTAAAAATTATATATCAACGAGACTCTGTCATATATTGTTTTGTACCTCTCAGCGAATATGATGAGCGTATAGTATTTTAGTTTTTACTGTGCGTAGGTGAAAGAGCTGCAAAAATGGAAGTTCATGACATGACAACTAAGGTCATGTTCTCTTCACCTAATCTGAATGATTCTGATATGATTAAGATAAGTTTTGATCTGGTCTGATCTGAATGCAGCTATACTTAAAGTTGTTTCCTTTTTGATTTGGTCTGATCTAAGTTCAACTGAACTAAACTAATTCCAATAAGAAAAAAAGTAATAAGTAATAAGAACAAATTGAGGAGAACATGGCCTAAACATGTTTTCATAAAGATGATTATGTTCTTTATTTGAATAAAAATGTTACTTGAATAAAAAGTTTGTATTTGTTTTTATGACGTAATGTTTACAAACATATTCTATTCTAAACTTGCTTTTGCTATTTTTAATAAATGCTTATATGATGTTTTTTTCTATAAATTAGTATTTTTTCTTAAACTATAATTTGGAAGAATCGATGAGATTGTACAAGTTACGGTGTCACATAGGGTAAATTTCAAAAATGATACCTTAACTTTCACGAAAATTTCAATTCGGTACCTCAACTTCAAAACCTTTCAAAAAAATCCATAAACTTTGAAAACCTTTCACGAATGGTACCTAAAGCCGGTTTTCAGGTAACCAGCAGGTAATTTGGGCCAAATCTTAATTTTTTATATTTTATAATTTTTAAATTGACCCCGTTTCTTTTTCTTCTTTTCCCTCCCCCACCCCTTCTTTGTCTTCTTCTTTCACCCCTTTTCTTCTTCTTCCTCTTCTTCTTCTTTCACCCCCTTTTACCCTTCTTCTTCAAAGCTCCCCTCACCCCACCCCTACCTCCTCCCAGCCCCCCATCCTGCCCACCTTCCTTTCCTCTTTTTTTCCAGCATCCCCTCTCACTCTCTTTTTGAGCTCCCTCTTTTTGTCTTTCCTTTTTTCACATTTTTTTGTTTTTTTGTTTTTTTTGTTTTTTCGATCTTATTTCTTTGTTTTTTTTTGTTATTTTTTTGTTTTTTTATCTTTTTTTTCTTGATACTTTTATATTATTTGTTGGTTTGTTTACCAGTTTTTTGTGAACTTTTTTTTGTAAATTTTTTATCTATTCTCTTAAGAAGTGTTTTGTTTTATTGTTTGTTTTACATAACGTGACACTCACGCAAAGGGGTGGTGTTCCTTTTTGATCACGCAAACATGGCAATGCCATGTAGGATCCATGAATGGCGTGAGGCACTACACATGATGACCTTAATAAAGTTTTTTTATTCACAAATTAGTCTAGAAATAAGAATTAGAAATTATATATTAAAAAAGTACACCTCCAACCATACTTGCTAAAGTTATTTTTAGCACGTGAATTACTACTTTAAGCAGCTATTTTGTATTGTCATCTCCAACCTTCTTTTGTTGTAATTTAACTAACAATTATTTTCTCCATCCCCAAAAACGCTTAACTAATTGGATTTTACTCAAAGTATAAGAAAATTTAATTGTTTTGTTGAAAGTTATGCAGTGGCGAGAGAAAGATGGGTCACACAAAATTTACTAAAAATCAAAACAAGATTCTTTTTTGGGACATCTTGAAAAAAAATGATGAGTCTTTTTTAAGCCATAGGGAGTATATTATATTGTTTTCACTATAATGGTACACTACTTATAATACTTTTTAAGCTTCATTATTTGAATTTATAATATAAATACTCCCTCCGTCCTAAAATTATCTTCCTTTTTTCTCCGTCCTAAAACTACCTTCCCACTTTTTAAAAAAGTGTATGAATTGACTATTTTATCCCTCCCTCAACTCTCTCAACCTACTAGATCTGTTAACCATCACTCTCGTCTCTCTTCTCTCCTCCGTCTCTCTCCCACCCCTCAAAATTTATATCTTCTCTCTCTTAATATCCAGATCTAATCGTTTCTCTTCCTCAAGACATAGATCGCATCTTCGCTCCACCATCACCGATCAGACCTCCATGAACAGGTAAGCCACAAAGAAAACGGTGAAGAGGGAGCAAATCCCCCAAATCTGCCTTCATCTCGTTGCACACAGAGAGACTGCAGCCAGAGAGACTGCCACCATCGCCGATCAGACCTCGCCGCGCACAGAGAGACTGCAGCCACCGTCGCCATTCCACCGTCGCCGTCGCCACTCTGTTTCAGATTCAGTGAAAGAGGGAGCAGATCCCCCAAACCTGCCTTCATCTCGTTGCTTGGACCAATTTCATAATTTATTTTATTTAAATTTATTTAGCTGGAATTTTGATTTTTGATTTTGTTTTAGAACCATGTCTCTGTGTGTATTGAAATTAGACAACATCGCCAGTGTTTTTGGTTCAGATTAGGCATGTTTCGGTCCAGTGTCAAGAGGGAGAAAGAAGGTTTTGAGGGGCATTTTAGGAAGGTCAACACAATTTTTAAAGTCTCTTAAAAACCACCTCCGGTCAAACCGGGAAGGTGGTTTTAGGACGGAGGGAGTATTAAGTAATACTCTGTAGGCATGCAATTAAAAAATTATATTTTAAAATTATTATTTTTTGTAAAAATGAATCAATAATATTTTTTTTTAGAAAAATTAATACTATGTTTTGTTCTTGTGTTATGGTATTGAACGTGAGGTAATAAATGCATTGTGGCAGATGAAAAAAAACTGACTTGAACAACATTTTTCTTTTCTTTTTAGCTTACTATATTTTACAATTTGTTATTAATAAAAGGACATTTTCTTTTTTAGAAAATCCATAGAGCGTCTCCAACCACACTTGCTAAATATGTCTTGCTAAAGTCACTTTTTAATTGAACACGACACAATCTTGTATTATCACTAAATCAAAATCCAAGATTACATCAAAAGCTACTTCCTATCTACATACATAGTAGGCTGTGTATACAGTGGCGGAGCCAGGGAAGACTTCATGGGGGGCACAAATTTGTTTAAAAAACTACAAAAAAATTATAATAGTAACAACCTTAATTGGCAAAGTGCAACTAAACATACCTTTTATTTGCACAAAGGAGTAAGAGTTGTTTGAGGCCGTAGAAAATTTTTTCGAGATGCCAACTTTTGAAAGCATGCACTGCATAATAACTTCATCATCAATGCTCATAATTTTTTTCTCAAGGTAGCACAACAGACAATCTGATAATAGCTCATCTCCCAAACGGTTGCGTAAATTAGTCTTGACAATATTCATCACAGAAAAACTCCTTTCAACTGAAGCTGTCCCAACATGTAATATTAATGCCAATTCTATAAGCCGATATACCAAAGGAAAATAAGTATGATAATTCATCTCCACCATCTTCTTTGCAAGACTTCCAAGATTGGAGATATTAGCAAAAACTTCATTCGACCTCATGTCAGAAATATAATTTTTAAGTTCATGAATAAGCTCAACTCGATCACTAGAACTGAAATCTTCTGAATACAATACAGCAAGTGATCCTGAATAAAACTCGCAAAGCAATTAGAAGGATCAAGACACATTACACATCTTAGTAAATTTGTGTTTATTTCTGTGAAGTGTCTATCCATTTCCGTTGCAAGAATATCAATGACCTAACATCAAATAAATAATAATAATAATAACTTAATTTCATTGCTTATGATATTAAAATACTTCCAAAAAATCATATTAAAATTTAAAATTAATAAGAGTAATATACCTTTGCAAAGATCTCTCCACGAAAATGTACATAGTTTGTCATGGGTTCACCACCTTTCATCTTCTTTCTTGATCGCCCACGAAGATAATCTTCCATGTTAGGCACATCAATTGCATGTTCTTCACAAAATTCACTAACTTCCTTCAAAAAGTCATCCCAACCATGATCTCTAAAATCTTGCAAGTTCTTTTTTACTACACCAATCATATTCAAAGCATAACCAATATTTTGATCTCATGCTTGTAACATCTTTGATAAGGTGTTAGTCATACCTAGAACTTTTAACATAAACCTTCCGATAAAAATGAACTCAAAAGAATCCATTTTATCAAGAATGCCACTAGCATTGTTTTTAATTTTGGGTATTTCACCATGCTTGTGTAACAAATTTAGCACTGCACCAATAGCATTCCACATATCAAAAAGACAAACAAGAGTTTTGTAGTCAGAGCCCAACGTGTATCACCTGGTCGAGCTAAAGATGTTATTTGGTTTTGCCCCCTACTAGTTGACAATTCACCTATTTCTATGCGATGTAAAGTTTCCTTCTCGTGTACTTGAAGGAGATAATCCTTCCATTTGCATGAAGACCCAACTGTATTAACAATCATCAAAAGCTTTTCAAAGAAATCAAATATGCTCTCCCTACCTTGTGCAGCTGCAACAATAACTAATTGAAGTTGGTGGGCAAAACAATGAATATTGTATGCATTCTTGTTTTCATTAAGAATAAGTGTTTTCAACCCATTAAACCGACCGCGCATATTTGAAGCTCCATCATAACCTTGACCTCTTAGTCTTAAAAGGGACCATCCATGTTTTGCAAAAAAATCATGAATTGACTTTTTAAGAAATTTTACAGAAGTCTCCTCAACATGTACTAATCCAAGAAAGCATTCAATAATCTCCCCTTTATCATTCACAAATCTCAAAATTACTAACATTTGCTCTTTCACAAAGCAATCTCGAGCTTCATCAATCAAAAAGCAAAATTCTTTTTTCCTATCTCATTCAATATGACATTTCTCGTTTCCATTGCACAACTTTCAATAATATCTCTTTGAATGGTAGGAGAGGTCATTTGATTATTTTTAGGAGCATTTATTTGCATGACTTTATCGGCAGCTGCATTAGTCTTACAAAACCAAGATATGAGTTCGAGAAAATTACCTCGATAGATTGAGTCGGAAGATTCATCATGCCCTCTAAACGCTAAACCTTCCCCTAAGATGTCGGCAATGTTAGTCGATAAGACATAATCTATGTTCTCTCTTTGATTAAGATATTGCTGAACTTTAATTCTACAATAAGCATGAGAACTTTCATTGGTTCCTCTGGCGATTCCATCTCCGTGGGGGGTTGGGAACTTTATGCATAGGTGACGAGGTGAAATGACACACTCTAAATCTTCCAATCCGGGTCTGCCCAGGATGATGTTTGTGTTGGAGATTATCCCCACCACGACGAATTCCATGTCCAACTTCTGAGTGGCCTTAGTATCCCCTATTTCGACCGGGAGGGTTATTACCCCCTCCGGTTCAATAGAGTCACCAGCGAACCCAGTCAGTTGAGTTTTGATGGGTGATAATTCATCCCTTTTCAAACCAAGAGCCTTGTACGTATCCATATACATGATATTAACGGAGCTTCCCGTATCCACAAGGGTTTTATGGATAAGTAAGTCCATTATATCAATAGTAATCACCAGGGCGTCCCTATGGGGGACCCCTGTTTCTGGCAGATCAGCATTAGAAAAGACATCCTAGAGTAGAAGTTGCCGGCTCGTGGGTTATCGAAAAAACCAGCTCCTGAGGGCTGAGGAAAGACGTCCCAGAGTAGAAGTTGCCGGCGACATTGAGGAAGTTGAGCTGGAGCCAGGCACACCGGGGAGGTTAGTCAGAATTGGCAAGGGCCTAGGGGCTGAACTCAGATCACGAGTGATCTCAGTCCTTCGAAGGTTCAGGGAGGTCTTTGCATGGAGTCCAGTTGATATGCCAGGATTGGATCACAAGATTGCAGTTCATCGCCTTAATGTCCTGCGAGATGCTAAACCGGTGAAGCAGAATCGGAGACATTTGTCGCAGGAAAGGAGATATTTCGTGAAGAAGGAGGTAGCAACCTTGTAGAGCATTGGTCACATCCGGGAGGTGCAATACCCGGATTGGTTGGCAAACGTAATTCTGGCGCCTAAGCCTCCTTTGTGGAGAATGTGCGTCGACTACACTGATTTGAACAAGGCATGCCCCATGGATCCGTTCCCTCTCCCCAACATTGACCAGATGGTGGATGAGACTGCCGGATCAGAGTTAATGAGCTTCATGGATGCATTCAGCGGCTACCATCAGATTCGGATGCACCCAGCTGATGCTGAAAAGACGAGTTTCATGACCCCAGAAGGGCTGCACTGTTACATGGTGATGGCCTTTGGACTAAGAAATTCCGGGGCGACATATACCCGAATGGTTCTCAAGTGTTCAAGGCCGTCCTAGGGAGAACCATGGGAGCATATTCGATGACATGATTGTCAAGTCCAAAGAGGCCCGAGATCATGTCCGGGACCTTGAGGAGGTCTTTGAAATCATGATGAAGGTAAATTTGAGATTGAACCCGAAGAAATCTACTTTTGCTGTTCATGGTGGAAAATTCCTTGGGCACATGGTTAGCCGGAAAGGGATTGAGGCGAACCCGGAAAAAGTTAGGGCCATCATGGAGATGGAACCCCCGAAGACAGCAAAAGAAGTTCAGCGGCTGACCGGAAGATTGGCGGCTTTGAATCGTTTCCTTTCAAAGCTGGCAGAGAAGGCGCATCCACTCTTTACGGTAATCAAGAAGAGGACGACCTTCGAGTGGACGCAGGAATGTCAAGAAGCTTTTGAAGAACTAAAGAGATATTTGGCAAGTCCGCCGGTTTTATCTAAACCGAAACCTGGAGACATCCTGACCCTATACATGGCAATTGCGGACTGTGCCATAAGTACTGTGATTGTGAGGGAAGAGAATGGGGCCCAACATCCGGTTTACTACGTGAGTAAGACTTTAAGAGATGCAGAGTTAATGTATTCCCGTCCAGAGAAGGCCATGTTAGCGGTCTTCTGGACGGCGAAGAGATTAACCCTGTATTTTCAGGCTCACTGGATTATTATGCTCACTTACGAGCCTTTGGCATCACTTACCCGGAGCCCGGCGGCATCCGCCCGGATGACCAAATGGGCGGTCTTCATCAGTCAGTATAATGTGGTGTTCAGGTCGCGCCCATCGATCAAAGGGCAAGCACTCGCTGACTTCCAAGTTGAGTGTACTGCCAGGGAGATGACAAGAGCACAGGTTGATACCCGGGTGGAGGATGACTGGTGGGTAATGAGCATCGATGGATCTTCTGGGTCTCGATCTTGTGGAGCAGGTATTGTTCTGATTACTCTGGAAAATTTCCGGATATATTACGCTGTGAGATTTCAGTTCCGCGTATCCAACAATGAAGCTGAATACGAAGCCCTGATCAACAGACTGAAGATTCTTGGCAAGCTGGGAGTGTCCAGGGTTCAAGTATTCAGCGACTCCCGACTGGTGGTGGGACAAATCACTGGGGAGTTTGAAGCAAAGGAAGAGATGATGAAAAGGTACCGGGACTTGTCCTTAGAAATGTTGGGAAGGTTTGAGTTTAAGCTTGAACACATACCCCGGGCCCAGAATGCGGAAGCTGATGTTCTATCCAAGCTCAACGCAGAATCACCAGAATACATAAGCCGATTAGCAACTGTCGAAGAGCTGGCAGCTCCGAGTCTCAACAGAGATGAAGTGTTTTGGATAGAAGCTGATCCCCCGGAATGGTTGGACAGGTTGGCAAAATACATTGAAGACAGTGTAGCCCCGGAGGATTCCCGAGAAGCCCGTTTGCTGCGAATGCGGGCACCCACCTACAAGGTGCAGGATGGAGTCCTCTATAAGCGATCTTATAACGGTGTTTTACTCCGTTGCCTCAGGGCGGCGGAAGCAAAGGCACTAATGGAGGAAATACACGAGGGAGTATGTACTGCACATCAGGGTCCATACTCTATCTCCAGAAGGGCGATTATTCAGGGATATTTCTGGCCAACGATGAGAAAGGATTGCGAAGAGTACGTGCACAAGTTCCCAACCTGTCAACAATTCCAGAATATGCCCGGGAGGCCAGCCATGAACTACACGCCCATCAGCTCTGTGATTCCCTTCTCAAGATGGGGAATTGATATTGTGGGAGCCCTGCCAAAGGGAGTTGGACAGGCAAGGTGGATAGTTGTGGCCATTGATTACTTTACCAAGTGGGTGGAAGCTGAACCACTTGCCGGGATAACAGGAAGGCAGATGATCGACTTCGTTGGAACCAATATACTTTGTAGGTTTGGGGTCCCGAAGCAGATCATATCTGACAATGGAACCCAGTTTGAGGAAGCAGAGTTTCGAGACTTCCTCAAAACTTGGGGAATTCAGCATACAAAAGTGTCTGTTGCCTACCCTCAGGCTAATGGACAAGTGGAGAACGTCAACAGGACAATCATAAATGGAATAAAAAACACGTTGCTTCCAGAAGGAAGTAAATGGGTGGATGAACTACTCAGGATCCTGTGGACATACAGGACAACTCCAAGGAGAGCTACGGGTGACACTCCTTTCGGCTTAGCCTATGGTTTTGAAGCCCGGGCTCCCGCTGAGGCAGTAATCCCTACCAGGAGAGAGATAGAATATGACCTGGAAGTAAATAACAGAATCAAGCCGCAGAACTGAACTTCATAGAGGAACGAAGGGATGAAGCACGGATCCGGGCAGAGAATTATCGTCGCCAGGTGAAATCTTACTTTGATAGTAGAGTAAAACCAAGAGTGTTCCAGGTGGGGGATTACGTCCTGAGGAAGCGAGAGAAGAGTAAACCAACTAAGGGTGGGAAGCTGGCTAAGAAATATGAAGGACCTTATATCATCAAGGCCGTTGTTCGCCCATGTAACGACCCAAAAACCGGCTTAGTAGTTAGCCGTTATTTTAATAAAAATAAACATAATATTTATTTACTCTAAAATATGAATTGTTGGTAAAGTTGTCCATTTTAAATAAAAATTAGGTTTTCGGATAGATCTCGTAAAATGGTGACCAACGGTATATAGTTTATTAAATTTAGATATACGTGTAAAGCGTGGTGAGTAAAATAGACATTACAGTTCAATAAATAAATATAAAGATTTTATAATATAAAATAATAATAATTACATATGGTGTGTGTTATACGTAACAATAATTCCAAATCCAATTAGGAATCCAATACAGCGCATATACATATACATAGATGATACTCCGTATATCCTACTTCCCTTCATAGCCGAATCAGTGTTT